TAGGGTTTGGTATAGTTTTTTTTTCTGATACAGTGCCACATCAATACTTTTAAAACGGTACCGGTGCCTGAACCGATACTTAAAAAGAGCCTCAATACGATGGTGAATGACATTAAAGCTGCAGTCGGCAAGTCTGGCAGATTGAGTGGATTTAGGAGAATTTTGAATGTTTACAACTCTCATGGCCCTCCCCCACTATCAACGGATCCCCTCCCACCGAGTTCGTGCTCGTCAGTGCGTGTGCACCAGATTTTCAGTGAACGCGCCCGTCTCATCAGCATCCATCAACACCATGGAGTATTTGGAGGTATGCTGTCCTGGCTAATCTACCGATAGATTGCAATTGCTAACGTCATTTATACTCTAAATGAGCTTACTTGATTTTCCGACATCACTCTTCGTTACTGCGCGAACTTCCGCCGGCATGTGCATGTGATTGTAACGTGCGCGAGGGGTGGCGTGTGCCCGATCTGTGATTGACAGTCAGATCTCACACCCCCCTGCGCTGATTGGACATGATGAACCGGGAGCTGTGGATTTTTGCAAAACATAACACGCTCCAGGTGGAGTTAGAAGCTCGGTTTTTTTTCTAAAACACTTTGTTGTTCTGTCGGATTATAGTGTCGATTTCACTGAATGTGATAAAAAAAATGTTGCCGACGGCAGCTTTAAAGAACGGCGTTCGTCTGTTATAGGACAACTTAGATTGAATAAACGAGCATGTTAGTACGCACCGCAGGTCAGAGAATTATCTGTCAGATTTACAAGTCAATTCATCCACTTCTCCCGAAATACATGAAAGCAAGTGACTGGTGAAGTGTGAGAAGAATGGAGTCAATTTTATAGTTGCATACACAATGTGTATCTAACACGCAGAGCCTGTGAGCGGAGTGGAGCGGGGAGCGCGAGCGGGCGGATCTTGGACAGAGCGCAGAGCGGCATTTTTAAAAGGACAGAGCGTCGCACTATTTCCCGCTCCGCTCACACCACGAGTCTGACTCCTGGCTATAGAAGCTTGCATTGTGTTCAGCATCCCAAGCGGGTCTGCGAGCGCAGAGAGAGTTTTCTCCGCAACCACCGCATGAGTCTGAGTCATGAAGCCTCAGACATTGTCCAAACTTGTGTTCTTGAAGGTGAACTCAAAATTAATTGCTTTCCTTATCTACAGTTCTTTTCTTTCTTTTTTTTTAGTTTGACAACATAAGCCAATTTAAATTGTAATCCACGTGCACTCTGCCCAAAAGTTCAGTTACGAATTTTGGCCTAATAGTTAATTTAGCCTATTTTTAAAACATTGATGTAGCCTACAGTATGCCTATAGCCTGTATTTTTATTTATGTAATTAGGCCCATTGATTCGTTTAATTTTACAGCAATTTTTTTGTACAATTAATATAAGCCAATTTTAATCGTGCACGCTGTGCAAAAGTTTAGTTATCAAAATGTTGGCCTAATTGTTAATTTACTTTTAAAACATTTATGTAGGCCTATATTTTTGTTTATATAATTTTTATTTATATTAGGCCCATTTATTCGTTTAATTTTACAGCAGTTTGTGTGTACAATGGATAGGCTATAAGCCAATTTACATTTTAATCGTGCGCAAAAATTCAGTTATCAGAATACTGGCCTAATAGTTAATTTTACTTAAAACTTTTATCTATATTTTTGTTTTATCATTTTTATTCATATTATTAGATCAATTTATTCATTTAATTTTACAGGACATTTTGTATAGGCTATATTCCTTCTTACATAGGCTAGGCCTAATTTGAAATAAAACATTTCTATTTGGAAAATGTTGTTGTTGCTCTTTAGTTCTTTGGCAGGTATAAATGTATTGTTTTGCTAGTATGTGTATTTAAATGTCTAGTCACACCAGTGTGAATGATCGTACGCGTCAAAGGGTTAACTAGTGATCACATGTGGTGATCAGGGGCATGGGAAGTGGGGTTGCTGGGAGGGCTGCAGCACCCCGTTTTGTGTAAGGTAGGCAGGTTTTTTTGTTGATTTCTATTTCCTGTCACTGTGCATGTTCTTTTATTGTATATGACAGTGTTAACAGCCCAATAACCCTTTATTCAAAGGCTTAATTTGTTCTGTAGGCTGGTCTGTTGCATCACGATTGAAAGCAGTATCAAAAAATGTCAAAAATGTGATGTGTGCAGTCGAGTTTTAACGAGTTGTATAGACTTAATATTGTTTCTTATTCAAAAGTGGTGACCCCATAAAAAAAATTAAAAAACAGCACCCCCAACCTAAAACATCTTCCCGCGCCCCTGGTGGTGATGATGCTTCTTACGTCCGTTTCGGAGAACCAGAGGGCAAATATTTTAACCAACATCTGAGGCATTTAAGTGGCACCGAAATCTGCGTTTTGATTTGGTCCGGTTACTTGGGTACCCGTTCCATATTAGTACCGGGTTTCGGTACCCAACCCTACCTATCAGTATTCATGAGTTTAAACCTGTTTGTGATGTTTTGCTGTAGGTGTCTAAGAAGTATGTCTCTAAAGAGTTGGCTAAAGAGATTCATGCCAAGGCAGAGCCCTTCGTTAAATGGCTCAAAGAGGCAGAGGAGGAGAGTGAGGGCAGTGAGGAAGAGGAAGATGACGATGAGGACAATGTTGAGGTAAAAAAAGAAAAGCCACATTACACAAACTTGCATAACCAGGGTTTTCAGATTTTTTGTAAGTGTTATACAAAATGTGATGCTTGTTAGTTACTCGATTTAACATTGTTGGATAGCACAGAATTTGCTCACATTTCCCTTTTCCCTAGGTGGTGTATTCCTCCTCTGCCCGTGAGCTGAAAATGGAGACTAAAAAACTTGAGAAGTCAGAACATGAGGAGGAGGACATTGATATTGATGCCATTTAAAGAAATAACCAAAAAGCTTAATTTGCCTCTTCCATATTGCTCAGCTTCTTTTTGTCAGACGCATGCCTTCTCACCTCCTTTGGCCTTTTCTTCAGCTCCAGGCCTAGGTTAGCGATCTGCTGAAAGCCACTTTAATTAGTCTTCTCACCAGCTCTATTGATGAATTGTTGCTTTTGTTTGTATGCATGAGTTTCTTAGATTCTAGAGCATAAAATGCACTCGAGTTCCCCTTGTATTTTTGCAACTATTAAAGATTTGCCTGTGAATTCCACCCTGTATCTAATTGTTTTTGACACTACTAATATTCATATCTTTATATTCATAATTATAGATCCCATTCAAAAGTTTAGATTTTAAGTCACAAAAAATACTTAAGCTGCAAGGACATTTAAATTGATCAAAAGTAACCGTAATATCTGATAATACAAAAGATTTCCATTTCAAACAAAGGCTGTTCTTTTGAACTTTCTATTTGTTTCCACAAAAATAAATATTGATTGAGCATCAAATCGGCATATTAGAGTGATTTCTGAAGGATCATGAGATACTGAAGAGTGGAGTAATGATGCTGAAAATTCAGCTTAGTCATCACTGAAATACATTTTTTTTTAAACAATATTAAGGTTATTTTAAACTGTAATATTGTGTTTTTGATCAAATAATTCCAGTCTTTGTGAGCAGCATAGCACTTTATATATATATATATATATATATATATATATATATATATATATATATATATATATATATATATATATATATATATATATATATATATATATATATATATATATATATATATATATATATATATATATATATATATATATATATATAAATCTGTCTGGGTATGTTTCTGAATTTAAGGTGACAGTCTTAAAGAGCCAAGTCATTGAGCATCGGTATAGAGTACTGCAGCCTTTTCTGGCCAGAAGCTGCTGGCTTAAAAACAGGTCATTGAATAACATTAAAAAAACACATTTGAGCCATCACTGTTGCACACTGCTCTTTCACAATGTCCTGGTAGCCTGCAAAAGGTTATAAAGATAATCACTGTGGGTGAAATGAGTTGAGACTGCTAATAAGAACTCAGGAGTTTCCAAATTAGGCATTTATTTACCTTTAATGTTGCACATTTAAAGTCATGTTTTAGTTATCAAGTCAGACATTAGGCCATAAAAGACATCATAGTAAATCATAGAAATGCTCAACACAAAACACAGTAGTTTCTGCACACGTCCATATAGAAAGTCATAATTTCCTCCTCAATAACAGAAACAATCGTAACATTCTGCAAGCAGCTAACTACGACTATTTCAGCCACATATATTTCAAAGAGCATAAATACTTAATTTCCCTTTAGTCTTTACACCAGTAAAAGACAATCACAGTGTTTTGCCCCACACAGGGCTTTCTGTTAAATGCTATTTTCAAAAAGTACAAAATACATTAACGCCGGAACTATACAATTACTATGTCACTCAAAAGGATTTTGGCACCGAAACTCCTACCCCTTTTTATATAAATTTTGGATGGTATTACATTGTGCAAAACGCAGATAAGCTAAAACTAATATTTCATCTCTCTATCCTGATTAGCTTACATTGATCTTAGTGCAACACGGAGGTAGACAACTACCGGCTTCTTTTCATTAACACATTAACATTAATCTGCCAAATTAAACAACTGCATTTAACAAATGAACAAACAAAACTACAATGGGTATGAGAATGAATAAATAAATTCAAAAAGCAACTGCTACTAATGTCCCTTAATTTTCCTTATCCATCCATAACATTCAGTTAAAGGAATATTCCATGGTCAATACAAGTTCAACTCAAACGACAGCATTTGTGGCATTATGTCGATTAACAGAAAAATGTTGAAATTGTTTATGAAAAAAGTTCTCTTCTAAAAAAAACGGGGAAAAAATTCATTTCTGTAATAATCAACATTATGCCACAAACGCTATCGATTTAAACCCATACTGAACCCGGAATATTACATTTAATGCAAATTCAGGAGAATAGGGCAAATCTCTTATTAAATAAATATCAGCTTCAAATTGAAAGGAAAAGCATGGGGATGCTAGCCATTTTTTTCTTCATATGACAAGATTAAAGGTATCGCTGACAGCTTCACCAGAAGAGGGCACTGTTGGCTTGGTCAGCTATGATTTGTATCATTTTTGTGTCACCACCTTTTTCCACTGTAGCATCGTTCCCCATATTGCTTTTGGTATATTTGGCTTTGGCATGGTACCGTGGATATTGATCGCTTTGGATTTCGAGCGACCATGCTGACTGCTTATCAGAATTATTTTAGGCTGAAATGAGATCCGTGGCACTGGATGAAAAATTCAGTGCTGCATACTTTAAGAAGCTCACATGAGAAACGTGCAGCTTTGAGCCTACAGTAAGGGTTGTGTTATCTCACTATTGGACAGATGCAGTGGCGGTAGCTGCCTTTTTGTCACCTGCTGCACAAAGATAAAGAGAAACCCGATTACGAGTAAGGTGCCGAAGATGGATCCCACAGCCCAGGCGTAGGAAGTCTCTCTGGGCTTGAGCGGCACCACTGGTTTTGGGGTTGACGTCTCCACTAAGAGATCCTGCACGCTTGACAAAGAGCCATTGTTGGGCAAGGGCTTGAGACCAAGAATGCAGCACATGAGAGGATAGAGGTCGACGGAGCTCATGGAGGCCTTGGTGTAGTCACGGCGGAAAGCGGGTCCGCGGGCGACAAACACGGGTTGCATGCTGGGAAGGCTGTTGTTGTAGCCATGGTTTCCCACTGTAAATCAAACACATGGCCATTAAATAACTGCAAAGGTATCTCAGATATTGATAAGCAAGCACAACGACGACATTAAAGTGTTATCGTATGTGTTCGTTGTGCTTTAATTATGTGCAAATAACAATACGCACACATAAGAGATCCATTTCTGTTCTGCATGACCGTCCATCCCTCTTTGACCTCTATGATCAGAGGCATGATCCTGGCATTGTGTCTGTAGTGGTAATGTTCTGGAATCTCCTCCTTTTTATACACAGCCATGTTAGGGTTGGCGTTCTTCAACGAGCTGTAGACCTCTTCAAGTTTGCCTGGGTTAAGAGGAGGATAACACTCAAATACTGTTTACATAGAATATGGGTTTTTTTTATTCACGAGTGTTTAACCGTCGCGTCTTTTGCAGCATCTCGTGCATGCTTTTCTAAAGATGTGGTGCTAAAGTTAAAACTAGTTTAATGCGTTTCCAGACCCTGCATTTCTTTTCACTCCACTGACCTCTGTCTCGCATTTTTAACAGCAAAAACACGTTTTGTGTGAATGCGTCACCGATTATGATTTTCACTTAAATTACTTTTCACGCACTCATTAATTGTCTTGTTTCTGAAAGTCTTGAACTTTTCCACCACGTCTCAAATGATGTGTTGTGTTTAACACCATTCTTTTAACTTTAAACATTTTTTTAATAAAATAACCGTCTCTTTTGTATTGCCACGGTTCATTTCATAGTTGGGTTTTGATGTATCCTAAATGCACAATAATAATATCTGCATTTTTGCCTCGCCTGAAATTGTAAAAAATATTTTGCTCACAAATTATATTTGTCCTGCTTTTGACCAGGACGTGGTCGAAATTGAACACTGGAAAGTTTCAAACAATAAAAAGTGTATTTAGATCTGAGATTTCCAAACTTTTTTGTCAGCCAAATCGCTTTGACATATATTTACTTGAAGCACATTTTCATGTTCATTGTTCTCTGATGTTGGTTAATGCTCACAAAACATGTAGGTAGACAAATACAATAATTGTATAATATAATCTTTTTTTTAGTGTATTATTTTGATTTTAAATGATCTATTTATTTTTCATTTACATTTATTATTATTTCATTAATTATTAGCTTTTATCGACTCACAAACACGCTGTGTTTGAAGTTCCTTCTCGAACCCCAGTTTGGGAAATCCTGGTTTTCTCCTGATTGATACAGTGGATTTTCATAGAAGAGGTTAAAACAATAAAATCTATAAATAAAAGGTTTTTTGAAAAGTAGCAAAAATACATGATGAAGGCATGGTAAAAACTGAAATAGCTACACGAAATAACCCGCATTCCCACAATAAACAATAACAAATGCTTTATTTTCATTCTTACCTTCTTTCGGCAAAATACCAACTACAGGACTCTTGTCTATCCATGTGTAAAGATCTCGGCTGACGTAGGTGTCCAGCTCAATAATCTTATCATGTGATAACTGAGTCATCCCATGATCACTTGTAACAATGAGATTGACTTTCTCATAAAGGTCAGCGGCTTTGAGCTTGTCCCTGAGGAATCCCAACTTATCATCGATGTCTGCTATGACTGCATCCATTTGTGAACTCTCCGGCCCCAAGTTATGCCCGCTCTCGTCTGGCTCCTCCCAATATAAGACACCAAAATTGATGGCCTTCGGCCCTGAGAACCAGTCGATGAGTTTCTCGACTCTGGTCTCAAAGGGTGTTGACGCGTTATAACTCAAGTAATGTGTTGGGTACGTTCCACCAATTGCTACATCTGATCCAGGCCACATGGCAGCTCCGCTCTTCCAGCCAGCCTTTTGATTGGTCACCCACAACGGCACGGCCTCCTCCCACCACCATGCATCGTACACTGAAGGTCCCTCCATGGAAAACGACTTGTTGTGAATGGGGTCGTACATTTCGTTAGCAATGATGCCATGGGTTTCGGCGTGTAATCCTGTCACTAAGGTGTAGTGGTTCGGGTAGGTCTTGGTGATGTAGGTGTTCTCCACTTTCTCCACCTGCACACCTTCATCCATCAGGGCACGAAAATTGGGCGTGGGTACTCGGTTCACATAGTCCCAGCGGAAGCCATCAAAGGACACCAGTAGCAGCTGGCTTTGCTCTACTTGCTGGGAGCTTGATGTCTGTAGCAGTATTAATAAGCAACTAAGGAAGCAGCTCTGGTATGGCATGATGCAAGTTTTTCTATGAAAGGGAGACCTAGAAAAAAAAAAACATTGTATAGACATGAATGGGGAAGGAAAGAAAGTTTAAACCATTAACAACATTCATATGATCACATTTATCATTCTGATTAAGGTCAATATTCTGGTTAAACCTTTATCAGTTATTGGAATTCCTATTGCATACATACATCAGCATATTGCTAATAAGACATGTGCATTCATTTCTGGAAATACTGAAGATGCTCTTGCCATTTATCATGCTAAAAGAATAACATAGAACATAGAAGAACAACATAATCAATTTCAATAATCACATTGACGTCCTTAACAATAACTTACAAGAGCCAAATATTTTACAACATGTTGGCCATACAATTTCAATGTTTATAAAATATAAGTATAAAATAATTCAAAAATGTTTTTGTTTTTTTAAAACATCTTGACTTTTCAGAAATGTCAGTATCTAATATCACCCAGAACTATCTTTGTTTGGACATGCACATATATTAATGTTGGGTTATGGTGGATATTCTGAACAAGATGTTTATATATTTGTCTTTATTTCTAGAAACCAGAATATTGACTTAATTGTAATCTGATTATGGCAATAAAAATAATGTCAACAAATTCTGATGTATGTATATATATACACACAGTATATAGCTGTAAAATCGGAATGCATCTTTGTGAAAAGGTGATGATACACAGGGCAACTTTTTGAGCAATGTTGCTGGGCAATGTTGGCGTCAACGGGCAACCAACCAGATGAGACACGGGGCCCACGACCGATCTAAATTATCCAGATAGAAATGTATTGCCTATTTTCAATGGGAAAGTGCCCAAGCAACAATCGCTCGGCAAGATTGCCCAGCAACATTGCTCAAAAAGTTGCCCTGTGTATCATCACCTAATTAAAGATCACAATGGAAATCCAAAATTATATATAATTTTGTTTTCTCTACCGATATTTTAAGATTTAATATATATATATATTAAGATTTCCATTATCTTAAATATATATATAACCACTCAACAACTGACACATTGTTGAAATTAAAAAAATCTCTTTAGATGGCTGTCTCCAAAACAATGCGATCGGTCGCGCACTGTGTCATGAATGGCACTGCATGTATGGTTATGTATGTCATATTCGGTCATGAAAGAGCAGACTACTTTCAGAGCGCCTGCTCAGTTAACAGGTGCATTCCTCTTATACATAATATAACTAAATGGAAACATTTCGGTATATAAACGCTCTAACAGGTCGAAACGGGTGTCAAATATAGCCTACCGAAATAATTCAATTGTATAGTGCGTCACTAGAAATGGAACATCATGACATCACACACAATGCAGCGCATTTCAGCCGCCTGTGATGATGCTCGCTCGATTCACTCTTGTCCTTTAAAAAAGATTTACAAAAACAATCCTTGTTGGGTTCTTTCACATCACCCTCAACTGACCAGTGTGCTTCTCCATTAAACGGCACCCGCTGTTAACGAACGGGGAAACGTAGCTCGAGGTAGCGCAGTGCATGCTCTATGACAACTCTTAATGTCATTACGTTACATCGCGAAAATGTCTCCGATATCATGCGTCTTCACAGTTACAACCAGTACATTTACAATTAAACGCATATAACCCGAGCTCATGCAAGCAACCGTTCAGCTTACCTCTGTGTGTGTGGAGGATATTTGGCTCTGCAAAAAAAATAAACACAGTCACACAGCTAGATCACAGGAAGCTCCGCCTATTTTTCTCTCTCCGTCTCATAGAGACGATATGTTATGGAAAAATCATTAGCGATAAACTCTAACAACACTATTCATTTTATTTTCATAATGTTTGTAACTATTTATTAGGCTACGTGGCAACTCAAAATGGCAGACGTAATGTCAATAAAACATCTGCTGTTATTCCGAATGGCTTTTTGTTGTGTAGACCTCATGGGGGGATTAAGTTTAAAATACAATTTTTTAGGCGAATTTTCTTTAACGTGCGGCCTTGCAGTTGCCGCAGCGCTTACTGTGTTTGTGATATAATATTAATTAAGTGTTTATGTTTTGTCAAATGTGAATAAAAGCGTCAGAGTATAGATAATATGATAGCTCTAAGAACAATTTACGTTCGCGAGGGGTTACCATCACATTCTGGCTATTTTGTTTAACGCCATAGGCTGTATAAAGTATCCTCAAGCTACAATGGCTATTAGCCTGGCTCCGCCCTCCTACGCACTTCCGCTCAATTTTATTTTCCTTCAGTACTACGTCTGGGATTGTGCTGTAGACTTTGGTTTCCAGAAATAATTTTTTTACCGGTCCAATCAGCGAACAGAGGGAGTGGCTGAGAACGATGACGTTGATGTAGCGCGTCAGTTTGAGTTGGAGTTCAGTAATGGCAGCGGAGAAAGACGTGAGAAAATCTATTCGGTCCGTTGTTGCAAAACTGCCGAATATCCAGAAGTTAAAGCCCGAGCAAGATCAATGTTTGCTAAGTGTTGTTGGTGGCCATGATTCGGGAAAAGTTTAATTTTCCAGCTCACTCCGCTAGTGGTGAATGAGTTAGCTAAGGCGAACGATAGGATGCAAAGCCGATAGTTGTTGTCGTCTCTTCTTGTTGCACTAATGGAGGACCAAGTGAGGGAGGCAGAAAGGTTAGGAGTTGGTGCTGGGCAGCTCGGCGTGCACGATGATCACTGTAACGTTACAGCATTTGCGGCAGATCCGAAACGACCGCAGCGGCGTATTGTTAATGATTACACCCAGCTTCGACAGTTGATTGAATACATCACTGTCATTAGTGTCAAATATACATTTAGAATTTAGAATTGTTCCTTGAACTCTTAAATTCGATGAACAAAACATGCAGCTCTCGTTGACAGACATCTTATTCTAAACATAATCCTCTGATCATTCGGACTTGTTTTTTTTTATTGCTTAAAACAATACACAAGTAATAACAGAAAACATAATACAAAAACAAACAAAAAATAATAATAAAAACAAAACAAAAATAAAACAGGGGGATAATATAAAATAAACATGAACAAGTTAAGAGAATTACATGACACTGAAAAAAGGAAAATAATTACAAACAGATAATGTTTTTAAGGCTTTTTTTGTTCTCAGACAACTTAATTGAAAAGAGGTATTTTTAAAATTCTTTCACAAATATAAGAAAGAGAGGTTTAGCATTTAGATATTTAGATTTATGAATATGGAATTCGGACTTGTTCTTTTCAGCCGGTTTCGGCGCATGACATACGTCACGACCACACGTTAGCGATTGGCTATGGCAGATCCTGAGTGACGCTGGGCAGATCCAATAGTTTTGAACTTTAACAGAGAACCCGCCTACAAGGAAGTAAACGTTTCTCAATGGAGCGAGGCCAGACTCTCTGTACAAATGAAATGTACGAGAGTCTGGTAGAACCAGGCTAAATGGCTATAGCTATGTAAAAACGAATAGGCCTATGTAAGTTTCATGATCAACATTATCCACCAGAGGTCACACAAACATAATTAGCCCAATTGCCTATAATGCATGCATGGTCTTCTTGGATAATGGAAACGACAAAATTGTGTTCTTATAGCCTACTTTTCTGTTTTTCTACATTTTTAAAGAACTGAAATAGCTACACAAAATATTCCTTGGGCTTTTAAAATGTTTGATAGCTTATTGTGATATTTCCACAGGATTCCTATACCTGTATTACTGATGGATGGATGCACAAGTGGACAACGGTCATCTATAGCCTGTGTTTTAGAGAAGTAGTCTACTAATGCTGGCCTCTCCTTGCTGTGAGAAGATCCGGCGATGCTGCTGGATTCGCGGCTTTGAGCAGATTCTTTACCGTCTCCACGACGACCACAACCTGACGCAACTTACGCCCCTCCTCCATTCAAGCCTCTCATCTCATTCAAGACACAGTGTGGAGTAAAAGCAGTGTTGTTGAGCTCTCCAGTAGAGCGGGACAAGAAGACTGTCTACAAGTAGGCTACCTGATAAACTACTAGGCTATGAAGGTAAGACTCATCTTTTCTTTAATAGCCTACTATCCGTATGAAGGTAGTGTTCAGACTCTCTAAACCCCATATGAACTGAATATTTTTCGATTTGTATTTATTTTTTAGAAAATAAAAGTAGCCTATTAAAATCTTAATTAAGAGTCACTACTGAGCATGGTGCTCTGGAAGGTTTTTTTTTTTTAATGACTTTTATTCAGATTTGTATACAGGATCTGGGATAATCTTAAATGAACTCTTTACATTTTAATCAGCTGCATTCACTGACCATGATTGTATTGCATTTTAAAATAGTATAGCCAAATTTATGACATTATAATACCAATTTAATGTTCCTGATCTGTCTACAGGTTATTCAACACCCTGTCAAGTTTTTATTTAGTTTGCATCAGTTAGGCTGAGTTAATCATTGCTATGTGCCATGTTTAATAAATAAACTATTTGGTAATAATAATCAAAGAAATGTTGTTATGACATGAGATGTAAAAGACAACTAAACAGCTCAAACAGAAAATTATTAGTCATTTAGGAAAATACATTATTTATAATATTCATGAAGCGCAACTCATGAACAATCATTTTATGCAGATTTGCACTGCGGCTATAAGACAACTGTCTTGAACAGACATCTAATTAGACATGGATAAATTCAGTCATGACTTATTCTAAACTGTCTGTTTGGCCCGAAAACATTTAATATGTCTGGAAAAAAAGGAGAATTTTCCCCTTGAGATCTGCATTCTAAACATAAAACGTTAGAGTGTGTGGAAAGATACAGCACTCAAAACCATTATTATGACTCACGAAAAGAGAATCATTTTTTTAAAAAGAAAAAATATATTCTACTTTAGTCTATTCTATTTAGTGCTGTCAAATCGATTAGTCGTGATTAATCACATCTATATTACAAACCTTTATTAGATACGATTAATCGGTTTGACAGCACTAATTATATTATATATTGATCACTTTCAGAGCTCATTTAGTCTGTTGATAAATATCACACTACAGGCATTTTCATATTCATGCTTATGTAAACAGAATGTGAATATTCATCAGAACCTAGACATGTTGTCATTTGTTTCTCACATTCCATACAGTATTTTTATTCTCTTTGTAGAGACTGCACTTTTTTCAACACGACTTTATATTTTAAAGTCACTATGGCTTTAAAGAAGCACATTTTTTCAGTCTAAAGTGAGAGTGGTCTGGGATGAATGGATCCCCCTGTGAGATGAGTGACGCCACTGCTGCCACACACAGAGCAAAGCGCTAAATGAGCCGAGTTTGATTAGTCCTGGAGCCGTGTGGAGGTTAAAGTGAGGCCAATTAAGAACCAACATACTCTAACATCCTCTCCTCCTATGGGAAAGACACATTCCTAGAGCAGCTGTGATGATGGAATACATCAAGGCAAAATGCCAAACACTATATCACACGTACATTAGACAGACAGCTTTATGGAAAAGCATTATAAATGTGGGTGGTCCTGAGACCAATTACATTATAAGCACAATCCCCATTTATTGCCAGTTACTACATATGATTATGTCTGTCCAGCAGTAGGTTCGCTTATCTGTATTAGAGTAATGAGAGACTGTAATTGAGCAGCATTATATTCTTTGCTCATTGTCACATTCAGGTCTGGCTGGTAGTGACATTTACTTCTTTAGAGCAGACAGTCTTCAGTGCTGCTGACTCATAGGCTGGGCTTAGTTGCTATGGAAACCACCAGCTTTGTAAGATTGAGCGTGTGATATAAGGCATGGATGGAAAGTGTTCATGTGATCAGTACACTGCCCGTTTAACCCATGATTTACTCCAGAAGATCTGGATTAGGAGGTAGAATAACTTCTGATTTGACAGAATTAAAACCAAATGAAACTTTCATTTCTTTTACTTTCACTCCAAAAAAGTAATTATTTAATATTAGGTATTTGCATCTATTTGATTTAATTTAAATGATCATATATCCAATGTGTATTAATTTAAATGACTTATAATCATATAAAATCAATTTAAGGGATAGTTCACCCAAAAATGAAAATGCTGTCATCATTTACTCACCCTCAAGTTGTTCCAAACCTGTATGAGTTTCTTTTCTTCTGCTGAACACAACAGAAGATATTTTGAAGAATGTTAGTAATCAAACCGTTGACGGTATAGCCATTGACTTCCATAGTTGTTTTTTTTTTTCCTACTATGGAAGTCCACGGTTTGATTTTCAAACACATTCAGTGTATTGGTACTATTAAATAAATCTCGTTCTTAGTTTCATTGATAACGTTCTACTAACTTTAAGTAACTTTAAGTAACTACATGTCAACTAGCAGTCATTATCAATGTTAAATTGAAAAGGATGGTGAATTTATATGTAATTGATACACATAAATATTTAATATTAGGCCTAAACATTTAAATGATAAAAAGGTAACCAAGTTTGTTTCGATTGAAGGAAAGGATCAAGAAGCAAGATATGTTTGGATGACTACACTACTGGGATGATACTGCTGGAGAAATGGAAGGTCAATATCCCCATTGCTGATTTATTTAATAGCCCCGCAGACTAGCAAATCCAAAGGTCTGTATTTTTATTGATCAAACAAGGCGATGAGATAATCTGACACTTAAATTGATTCTCACCGTTTATTTTTGGCGACACTAACCACTTCCTCAAAGGCCATGGATGCGAGCTCAATACCTCAGATTGATATAGAGGACTATGATGGCCTTGAGGTTGAGGTTGTCCCAGATGATCACTTGAGAAACTTGAAAGCACTGACTGAGAAGCTGAGACTTGAAACCAGAAGGCCGTCCTATCTTGAGTGGAAGGAACGAGTGGAAGCTCAGAGCTCCAAAAGCTCAGCCGTGCCAGAGAGCTCGTCAGCCCTGGAGAAAGGTGCTGGACTGAAGCCCAGTGCAACACCTCAGAGGAACATAGAGAATTCCCAAGCGACTGCAGGAAACGGCCTGATTTCGAAGAGCCTCAGAGGGTTCGATAATATTGACGAAGCTCTGGTTTGGCTTAGAAAAGAACTGGTAAGTCAAAATGTTTCAAAACCAGTTTGTATCCTAATTAGGACTTGATGTCCGACCTATGTGGCGCTCTGGCGGTTAATGAACAGAACTATGCGTCTTGCAGTAGAACATTGTAGCCGGAACTACTTCTCTCTTTTCTATGACGAGGTACTAGGCTACTCTGCACAGGTTGGCGTCCCGCTCTGTCAAAAATAGTCCGAATATAAACACTCATTACAGGCCGTAGTGATTCAGGATAAGACAACAACAAGGTTTGGAAGACGGATTTATGACGCACTCGCTCATTCTCTTTTGTCAATTTTGAGCAAAAAAAGTTACATAGTGTACCTTTAACTGAATTACTGTAAAATGACATATAATTAATGTTAATAGTTTTTCAACAGCATAAAGTCAAAAACATTACGGTGATAAAACTTGATATTGAAATGGATTAAATTCTTGAAAGAAAATCTTAATTAGATCGGCATAGTATAGGCCTGGATTTACAGACAGGGCTTAGATTAAGCCAGGATTAGGCCTTAGTTCAATTAGGACATTTAAGTAGCTTTTATAAACGTGCCTTAGATACAAACATTACTGGTGTGCATCTTGAGACGAAACAGTGGCACTGACATATTTTAAGATTGTTAGTGCAAATTGCAGTTAAAACGGCTCAAACATGCATTTATTATTATTTGTATACTTAAGTCAAGTCACCTTGATTTATATTACATTTTATACAAGGATAAACAGGCAAATAATGATTCATTGATGCAAACAAAGTGCAATTCTGCTGTAAAGCAGATCTATAAAGAAAATAGTGTCATTGTTTAGCTGAGGTCAGTTCAGTCACCGTGTTGATTCAGTTCTGTTCAATAACACTGTGAAGATCATAAAACATTTAAACTATAAAGCAGCTCTGTAGAAAACAGTGATGTCATCATTCAGCTCAGTTCAGTTCTCATCCAATTGTATCAGTTTAGTCAGGTCAATAATATAGCTGAATATTGATGCTGCCTTCACACGCTTCACATGGATTATTTGATACCCAAGTTGCCAAGTACTAGAGTTGGGCATGACATAAACTTTAAACATGGCGGAGGGGAGAACGATTGCCGACTGGTTTTTAATTATTTGTTTGTATTACAACACATCGCCTTGTCGTTAAAGTAGTGCACATATTTACATCTAATAATTTGAAGTATGTTGTTTGTTTTATACACAGCGAAAATACACCGAAATTCCAGAGTCGTGACTATCTATAGCGCGGTGAATGTTTATGGTTGTCAATGAAAAGGATGCTAAATATCATTTTGGCTTTAATAAGATTTTTCAAATAAATAGGCAACATTAAACCTGGTGTCCTCCGTTATATTCCTGTTCTCCCGACAACAAAGCACTTGAATGTGATGAGCTCATAATCACGACTTTAGAAGTGGGAAGTAGGACATTTCCGATAATATGTGAAGGGAGCAAAAGTCCATAAGAGGAGTGGACTCATTTCTTTTGAGACCAAATAGTCGCGTAACCAACATGCAAAAACAAACAAATGGTCAAGTGGTACTACTCCCCAAAAAATGATATATATGATATTTATGAACAAATAATTCATGATATTTTACCTTAAGAATTACCTGGAAAAATATATTTTAAAAATGTGAAATAATGATTTTGAACACCAGTTCATTCAAGGTGTATGGAAAATATAATTTGTTTTCTTTCTTGAAAATGGTAAGAAAAAAAAGTTTTTACACTTTAAAAGATTTATCTCTTATTTGTCATTATCAGGTTCTCGCAAATAAATCAGATTTTTCTCAATAATTGCTGCTTCTTTGCAATCATCTTTTTGTAAGGGAAGAAAACAAAAATCATCCCCATTAGTTAGCTAATTTGAATGAAACAATGGAGTGAATGCGCAGGCCTCCATTACCTCATCACTGCGTGAGATTGCCATTCATGTTAAAGTGAGTGGAAAGGATGGTGAGCAGATGAGCATGAGAGGCGATCGGCCTGTTTCCTCGCTCTCTGTTCCTGTAATGTAATCACTTCTCTTCCACTGAGCCATGTGGTTCATGGCATACTTGTATGCACAGTCTATTATAGCCGCTGCACGCAATGAGGCTCCTTTCACCACATCCTTTGGTGCCCCGTGTGTGTCCATAAACATTTGGGCAAAGGAAATTGGACACAAAAACAAATAAACAGAGCCAGTCACAAGAGGACTTCTGACGATCCATACATACCACCTCTCCCAATTTTGAGCCACTTGTTATGTGAAATGGACAAAAGCATGTTTGCTAACAAAGATGGATCTACATGTCCATGTTTATTTAAATGGTTAGAAGCGATTAAGCAATTAAGAAGCAGTAGGTTCACGCCAGGCATTTTGCCATGAGTCTGAAAGCTCTTAACACTACCATTTAAAAGTCAGGAAGATTTTTATCCATTCAGCTAGGATGCATCAAATTGATCAAAAGCGACAGCAAAGACATTTATAATGTTACAAAAGATTTCAATTTCAAATGAATGCTGTTTATTTGAACTTTCTATTCATTAAAAAAAAAAGAATCCTGAAAAACAATATCAAGGTTTCCACTAAAATATTAAGCAGCACAATTCAGATTTGTTTTATTTTTATGATTTTGTCCCTTAAACTTTTAAAGTGAATATTTCTCAAGTAATGACAACATGTAGAAATGAAAAATCAGCTGTTGGCCTACCAGTGGTATATTCTTCTTTTAATTTATGTCATATTTGCTGGCTATCAAAAGAGCACTGAGGCGCCGTTTACACAACACCGTTTTCGATTAAAAACTGAAAACTTTTTTATGCGATTTGGCTGTTCATTTAAACGACAACGGCATTTGGGGGACCTGAAAACACAAACTTTTGAAAAAGTGCAATTTTTGGAAAAAAATATACCATTATCGTCTCCTTGTAAACCTGTAAAGTAGAGAAATGCATCATCCGCATGCGTATTACGTGTTCAGTCTATACAGGCGTGGGATTTTTCCTTTATAAAGTCTCATCGCCAACTACTGGCCTGGCATGAATAATACAGCGTATTTTAATCATTTTCATGGATCCGTGTGAGCAGGAATCATTTTACCAACGTTGTTGTCTGTACGTGAAAAACGCAAAGGAAAAAAACGTTTCTGTTTTTGGTACATTGTTGTCATGTAAACATACCTTAAGTCTTACACATTTTGATTTGGTACATAAACTCCACTATGACAGTGACACTCAACAACCACATTAAAGGGGTCATATAATGCCATTTTTGTACAAGCTAATATGATTCTTTAGGGTCTAAATTAAAAGTTTGTAATATACTTTAATTAAAAATTCTCATTAGTATTGTAAGAAAACAGTTATTTTACCTGGTCAAAAACAGCTCTGTTTTCAGCACGCCGTTTCAGTGCGTATGACTTTAAATGATAATGAGCTTTGCTCACCCCGCCCCTCTGTTCTGTGCTACACCGTTTGTAACACAATAACCATAACACGTTGTTCAGTATAAACGTGGGATTATGAATTATATTGAGAACGTCATACAGAGAAAACATGCCGTAATGTACCCTGACTGAGTGTAAACCTTAGACGCATTCATTGTGAAGCGTGCAGCTAGCGATTTGCAAAGATTAATATATTAATATAAAGTTTAATAAAACGTTACACTCACTTCAGTTCTTCTGGAGATTCAGCAAGAACACGAATAGTTGGTACCGAACCTTTTTTCATGAGCAGCTTCTTAGCAAATCCAGCTTTATACTGATCCTCGTTTATAAAGCAGTCTGGTGTGAAATGATTTGCGCAAACATGAGAGCATTGACGTTGCTCGTGGGGAATATTCCCTTCGAAAACAAACTCAGCCACTGCGTCTTCAGCGGTTCGGATTCAGGAACATTAAAATGACTGTGTTCGTTATTACACCCAAGAACAGAACACCACAATCGCTTAGACGCCATTCTGCTCATAGACAGTGCTCCAGCGTATCAACAATGACCGCGCCGGTCCGCGCGGACTATGATTGACAGCTCTCACGAGCGAGGGCGGGTCTGTGTTGAAACGCTGCTGTCAATCAACAATCGTGGGAGGGGCTTCCGAGCGTGTGACGTCACGCGGTCGAACGGCTTGATTTGAGGCAGGGGAAAACATATAAGGAGATTAAAACAAAAACACTGGATGGATTTTTATCATTATATGATGGTTGTGTACAGACACTGCCAACACACATTTCAGTACAATCAACTTGCAAAAGTGCATGTACCATTATATGACCCCTTTAAAAAAATGCAGTTAATATGACAAAAAATAACTTTAATAGGCAACAAACACAACTTTGCCAAAGCAATAGCAAACCAATGAACAGTAACATTAAAGTCGGCATGAAACAGAAGTTAATTGCGATAGTCTTCTCTTCCCTATTTTGAAGTATATCCAAGTTAAACGACTTCACAAACAAGAGAAAAATGTAGGACGGGACTTGATTTTGACAGGCTGTCCCGCCCTCGCGCCAGTAAACACATCGGAGAAGAGATGTCCTTGCAAGAGGGAGGCGAAGTTATTTTGATTAAAGATTATGAGGGAACATGAATTAATTGTATAAAAAAATAAATGCTGTGCACAAAAAAAAAAAAATACTGAAATATTCCATAAAAAATAAGAATTGTCCATTTTGATTTCATGGTGACTTTAATTGTTCAATTATTATTGTGCAGTTCGTTGTGCATCTAAACCTTAGTCTGTGTAAAATAAGCCAATATTGTTTCATAATGACTAAGGTGTATGTTTCATAATAATCACTATGAAATTTGAGTACCGGTAGGTGTCAGATAGTTCTCATAATAAGCCTTAATGAGTTTCTCCTAAATTGTATTTATTCATAGATGGAGATGCGCATCCAGGACCAGCAATTGGCACGCCAGCTCATGCGACTACGCGGTGACATCAATAAACTCAAAGTGGAGCAGACATGTCACCTGCACCGTCGAATGCTCAATGACGCCACCTTTGGCCTGGAGGAGCGTGACGAGCTGTCGGATCTTTTGTGTGATGGACCCGTCACCCCGGGGTTTGGCCTCTCTTCACCACTGCGCCTCATTGGTGTCACAAAGATGAACATCAACTCCAGACGCTTCTCTCTTTGCTAGAAATGTTCGGAGTGACCATACAGCAATTAAGAGAACAAGTGACTCAAAAAGTGAAATGAATAATCTTCGACAACTGTTTTGAAAGCCATGAGAACTGTTGTCACAGAACATCCTATGCCTCTTGGTCTATGTACTTGTGCCAGTGAAATCATTTGAATTAAATGAATGAACAATGGACAATGACTTCTAAAAAAAGGTCTGACCTGTTAGCCATGGCTCTATGCCTTACATACAATTCTTGTTGTGGTCATGAGATATCAACAACTGTTTCTTACCACACACATGCTCTGTTCCAAATCTTATGTGCACCCTTTGACATGAAAGGCTGTTACAAAACAGGAGACACTATAAATCTAGTGCCTCTTGTTTTAGCCCAATTCTAAGGCAGTATTCATGGTAAAAGCAACTCCATAATTCAATGCGATAAACTTAGTAAAGCAATACAAACATGATTGTGGATGGGGCGTTGATTATGAATAAACTATGAATCAACAGTGAAAAGTATTGATTAATGTCATTTAAATGTGGTATTTAACCCTCTACTGCACACATTTTGATGGTACATGAGAAAAATGATTCCACATCATTTCTTGGTTCATTTGGGAACATTTTATTGATAGAAGAACAGACTCGTTGACTTTAAGTAAGGAATAATTGATGACGGGCCATTGAATTATTATAAAAATAATGCATTATTTTTTAATAATTCATCAACGGCCCCGAGTCAACAATCCCAAGCCTCCGTTGCTAATTCCAAAACGTAATTTTAGAGCTAGTAATGGAGGTTTGAGCCACCGATAGCAGAGTGATGCAGTTATTAATGCAATTATTAGAGAGATAGAGAGAGAGATGAAGCGTGTGTGAATTACCTGAGTCTGTGCATCTCTCAGTGTTTTCGGCAGCAGCGTCTACTAATAGCGAAACTGTAAGTTTATCTGCTCCAAGAACAGCGCTGTTATTACATCGCTAGTGAGAAATTTGATGTAGCTTTTAAGTTGTTCAACTATTTAACTGACCAAATCTTCAGATCAGCGCTGACGACACGTTTCTGTGTGAGTGTGTTGTCCGTACTGTATGTGTGCGTTTGAGTGGGAGAGAGCAGGAGAAAGAGAGTGTGTGGCAAAAAACATGGAAATAATTAGCTGTTTTTATCCTACTGTTTACTATATTTATGTGCTTGGTCAGTGTTGTTGTTTGTTTTGGTGTCTATAAAGACCTTTCAAATAACTGAAATCATTTGGTGAAGTTATACAGAACTGTAATGCGGTCAAGACCTGCCTGGAACTACTTTAGCCGTGCGTTTCCCTGAAAATAATTGCACACCTTAAAAAGTTCGTAAACCAATCAGTTTCAAGCATTCAACAGCCCCATAGTATATAATGGGTTACAAGTTATAAAAAAAAAAAAAAAAAAAATTCCCCTGTGGGGAAAACGAGTTTTATTTCAGGAACCCGACTGTTGCACTTAAAATTAAACGAGTCTCCCATGTGGAAAGCACACAGACTTGCTGCGGCTGCCTATGTAGAGCACTCCAAATCGTTCACTTATATGAGGTTTCATGATGATTACGATCTAGGCCGCAGTGAGGCAGATCACGTTTTGGAACAGAGCTACAGCCTTAATTCAGTTTTGCTTATATATATTACAAAAATGCCTCAAGCATTTACATCAATCTGCATATCTGCGCTCTATAAGATTTTTCTACACATACATTTCTATTTTATATGGCAAAATGCACCCATATCTTATAAACATGGCTTGGTTGTGGTTAGATACAATAAAGCTTACCTGGTATACTATTATACTTGGAATACAGTAAAGATATAACTTGCTATAGTGTGATACTATCCCAGTCTATAGAGCATCTGTGGGGAAGCATGCTAGTTTTTTTCACAGAAAGTTTCGAATAATTCCCAATTTGGGAAGAGCGTCTCTCTCAGTAGATCTCCATCACTCAAATGGCATGTTTTTTTATAAACAAGAACTCCAGCAAATGTTCAAAGGCCATGATAATAAGTGCCATTACAAGGCTCATTTATCTTATTCATGGGTGTTTAGATGTTTCCTGCTTGTTTGAACACTGCGATAGTTTGGTTCAATTGGGTTTCTTGTTAATCTTGAACATTTACAGTGCTTTTTTAATGAGTGTGAATATTGTGCTGGACTCAGCGGGAATAATAGGTCTACCTCAGAGAAAATGTCTTGGCTTTCTTATTCACGTTTCTTCAAAAGATGGAGTGAAACCTGCTCTGAAAAAAAGCTGAAAGGGTGTGTTTCAAGCCAACGTCCTCTTTCAGGAAGGTAGTGTTTCACATCCCTTCTCAATGGCTTTTGTGTATGGCCAAACGAAGCATTCTGGATAGTTGAAATTCAGCCCCACGTACAGTAGTAAAGTACAGTACATTCTACATAGTTTCACAATTAGAAGTTGTAATACCGTATTATAGCTAACTATTAGGGTTAACAAAAGTTAATACCTAAAGACCTCAAAGTTGATTAATCGAGCGCCTAGCATTCAAAATCAAATAGCACGGAGACTTTGTACTGGAAAATTGCATCTTTTGTGTAAAGCCACAGAGTGCAACAGTCGGGTTACGGAAGTAAAAATTCCATTCATTTTCTCCACAGGGGAATTTATTGAGAATGATAACCTATAAAAAACAGACTTACTGCTACGAGGTTGTTAATCGATGGTAAATGCCTTTTTAAAAGCCGTTTCAACTCATTTTTTTATTTATCATGTTTAAAAGCGAAACTCCTGGTGAAAAACTACATTACCCATAATTCTGCAGAAACAATTTCCACCAATCTGAGAATCAAACACTCTTGAGCGCCCATCCACTCCAATAAAGCACACACACACTTATACACACACTAGTGAAATATAATCACTTTAAATGTAAAAATATAGAAGTTTTTAATTCGATTATATCATTCACAATGCTTCGTGGGATTGTAGTTCTCTCCTTCATTAATGCCGTTAAGTACAGTCGTGTACCTTTGTCTTTTCGTCTGATTTTCAGTTTGAATCAAATTTGTGATTCAACTTGCAGCTGTTTGTTTTGCTTCATGGTGTATAAATGTTTATCAACTTTTTAAAAATCCTTCCAGAAACAAGGCCACTGAAAAAGTAGCGTTCTGCCCTCATAAACTAACAAGGCAGCTGCCGTTTTAGAGCTATTCTTTTCCACCATTCGCCAAACAATGTTAGCTCAAATGAGAGATCGAGTCTCTCTGTGCTATTGTCTCCAATGCAGCGATCTTGCTGTAATGACATCTAACATGACATATGCTCCCCAGCTCCTTGTTATCTCCGGATCAGGATACTGACCTTTGACACCCTTTTGTGTGCCCCTACTGCAGTTCATTTAGGCTACAGTGAGGAATGAGGGTCTTACGGATGCCTGCACCCTGGAATTACGAGTATGTGCTGTGTGAGCAAAGTTATGTTAAAAACAGCCATGTTCATATTCAAGAGGCATATTATAAATAAAGCTAATGTTCTCTTACGAGAGGTTCTCTCGTATTGCGTAAGCTAGCTTACGCTGCGGGAAAGATTCATCTTTGCTGAGATATTGAAGCCAAAAAATTATTTCATAATTTTGTATCCATACACAACGCAGTTCCTCTGCGGCAGACCTAGAGCGGGCTAGCTAGCAGCTCATTGGTTCGCTCAGAGAGAACTGCTTAAGCCTATGGGAGAGCAGGGCTGAACCCGCTTCCAATGAGAGGCGCCCGCGCGCTCATTGCGTCATGACCCGCCAGAATGGGCGTGGCCATGGTGTATATAAGGCGCTCTCCCAGGCTTATATGTTGATTCATTTCATCTTCAGCAAGCTGCACGCTTCTGCTGTTCCTGAGAAAAGCCATCGCCGTCGAAGAAGGCATCCTCTAGCGAGCTCAAGGACCCTGAAGAAGCCGGCCGTCTTCGCCACCTTCAGCCGCCCAGCAAGCTAGGCCATCCGACGATTGTATCCTTTCTCTATTTCTAAAAGAGCCGAGCGTCTTTTTAAAGATGTCTCGTTTTTCCTGCGGCTCTTGCCGCGCTCGTCTCGAGGACGGAGACCGCCATGTCATCTGCGCTCTCTGCTTGGGACTCGAGCATGCAGAACTCGCCCTCGCTGATGGAGGATGCGACCTCTGTGAAAGCCTGCCGTTATCGTCCCTGCGGGCACGACTTCTGGCAGTGAAAACCGCTCCCGCGCCGCCTATTCTCTCGCCGCGTAAAAAGAAACGCCGCTCTCAAAGGCCGCCGGAGCCCCCAGCGGAAACATGCGGGCCGCCGCCGCCGCCTCCCGCTTCCCGCTCTCCCTCCCCGCCCCTGCCGGACATTCAGTTGCCGCCGAGTGGCCGCTCTGTTGTTTCCGATGACGCCGCGGAGGAGAAGGACTCCTGTTCACTGCTCGCTTCTGACAGTGAAGACTGGTCATCTCTCGGATCCGCGAGAGAGTCGACGGGGACCCGCGCCGGGATAGAAGAGGAGCTGATGCGCCTCCTCTCACAGGCCGTCGAACGCCTCGGTCTCGAGTGGTCTCCTCCACCCGAGCAGGCCCCGAACCGAATGGACGGTAGCTTTTTTCATCGGCGCTCGACCCCCGCGTGCACCCGGGCCGCTCCATTCCTGCCTGAACTTCACGCAGAGCTGACAAAATCCTGGAATGCACCGCTCTCGGCTAGAAATCGCTCCGATGTATCCGCCTCGCTGCGCTCGGTGGACGGAGCCGCCGAGAAAGGCTATGCAGCCATGCCGCCCGTCGAGGACTTGGTCGCCACACACCTCTGCCCGCCCTCCGCTAGATGGCGTTCTTCACCCACGCTTCCTTCGAAGGCTTGCAGAGCGACCTCGAGCTTTCATGCTCGCGCTTACGCCGCCGCCAGTCAGGCCGCCGCTGCGCTTCACTCTATGTCTGTCCTCCAAGTGTTACAGAGCGATATTCTCCGTGAATGGGCCGAAGGCGGTAGAAAACCCCCCCCCGCCGTCACGGATTTGAGAAGTGCTACGGATCTCGCCCTTCGCGCCACTAAAGCCGCCGCACAAGCTCTGGGGAAATGCATGGCCAGCCTTTGTGTTGCTGAGAGACACTTATGGCTCACGCTCGCCGACATGGGAGATTCTGAGCGCGCCGCGTTTCTCAACGCGCCCCTCTCCCCGACGGGCCTGTTTGGATCTGCCGTCACGGGAATTGTCGATCGCTTTTCTGAAGTACAGAAAGCTTCTCAGGCGATGAACTTGTTTCTACCCCGCCGCGCTAGCTCTTCAGCGGGCCGCTCTCACGAGCCCTCCGCCAGAGCCCCATCACAGCGCCCCCCTCCGCAGACTCAAACAACTCAGCGCAGTCAGAGCGGCCGCCCTCGCCCTCGCTCTCGCTCTGACAGCCGCCGCAGACCGCCGCCCCCCCGTGGCCCGCGACCCAAGATCACGCTGAAGCCTGATCATCAGAAGTCTGCCTAACAATGTCAAGAAAACGACGGTGCTCTCCCGCCGCGGCCGGACCGCCGTCAAAGCTTCGCCCTCTGCCAGTCCCCGTTATTTCGCCGACTGCTGTAGTGTTGACCGCCACAAACAAGCCGGTGTCCCAGCCCGCT